GGGACAGGGCTCAGCTTGTGACACCCTCCTGTGGGCTCCGGCGCGGTTCCCCCGCCGGGTTCGGTGCAAAGTGCAGGTTCGGGGTCCAGGCAGGAAAGCGGCAGTGCCTCTGGGAATATGCTCTCGGTAGATCCCCGGGAGGCAAGGATGTTGAGACAGGTCATAAACATTATTGGTGACGGAGGCGACATAAAGAGAGACTGCAGGTTAATGTTTTAGAAGCAGCTGGAAGAAGCAATGGAGAGGGAGGGGCTCCGTCCAGTAGCATAAGGGAAGGGAATATAGTAGAATTAGAGCTCTGGGGGCAAAAATAAATATTCCCAAGGCATAGAGAAAAACCTTTAGGCACGAGACTGGAAACTGGCCTACAGCATGATTTAAAAATGTCCCAGGGGCAAAAGAGGGAAAGGTAATTCAGATAATCAGAGAAGAGGAAGGGTAAGGTGGGGAGGGAGGCGGAGCAGAGAGGAAGAAAAAGTAATGCGAGGATTCCCCAAAGACCAAGGGTTGCAAACCAGCCACCAGCAGACAGAATCAGCCAGGGTGTTTAAAAATAATGTGAGCCTACTTAAAAAAAAAAAAAAATCAGATGTCACCCAAAGAAATCTGGATTTCTGACTTCTCTTGAAAAAAAAAAATCAGAAAACCTGGCAACTATACAACCTTGTCTTCATACAGCCTAGAAGAAAATTTGCTGGCTGGGGGCTGCCGCTCCTGGAGCTTAAATTGGGGCACAGGTTCTCCACCGCCATCGCCTCATACTCCTCAACCCCCCAAAGTATCTGTATCTCCTGATTTCCTTCGCTCTCCCAGGTGTCTGTGTGACCCCTGCAGGCATCTGAGATGCTGAGTGCTGCTCGCACCGCTCTGATTTTCCAGCACAGAAGGGCCCCGACCCTGACCCCCAGCTCAAGGGAGTTGGGCCCAACACTGAATGCACCTCCCATCCCCTGACCCTGGCTCACTTAAGAAGGAGGGTTCTGCCTCCTGGACCTCAGACCAGGATGGGCCTGACCCCCAGACGGGGACTTGCAGCCATCTGGAGGGTTCAGTGAGTGTGCCGGCCGAGGAGGTGGAGGACACCAGATGCAGATGACAGTGAAGGGAGCGCTTATATTGGCATCGTGGAATCCGCATTTCAGGATGCATGCAGGATTGGGATTCCGGGAATGTGTTTCAACCACATTTAGAAGCTGCTCTTTGAAAACCATGTTAAAGAGGGTCTGAGAAGCTGCCCGTTGAACCTTCAGTGTCACTTAAACATGGGTTAGAATCCTGGTTCTTCCACTTATTCTGTGTGACCTTATGCAAGTCACTTAACCTCTCTGAGACTCACTTTCCTTATGTAAAATATTTAGATATCATACGGAGCTTCAGTGAAGATTAACAATAATGTATATCAGACGCTAAAGTAGTGGCCAGGCACTGGGTTAACAACTTGGTAACTGTCTATTATTATTACTATTTAGCTAATTCTTGGAGAGAGGCACAGGTGCTATGGGTTGTTCACTTCTCTAATTATGTATTTTGTGGGAAATTTAGCTCCATTTAGCTTAGGAACCCTGCTGAGGATTTTTAAACAGGCGTCATGAAAAGTCAGATGAGATGCTGATGTGCTGGGAAATGTGTCACTGATGGTGGAGAGTTGGGGGCTCACTCCGAGCTCCGTGTCTGACGCCAGGAGGGCTCGGCCTGTCCCTTAGCCTCTTTCACTTCCTCACCTGTGGAAACCAGCCGGCCAGGTGTCCGTCATCTAGTGCTGTGCCCTTCATGCAGAGACACCAGTCACAGGAGGCCACTTACATTTAAATTAATTAACACTCAAGGAAGGTAAAAATTCAACCCCTCGGTTGCACAAGCCCCACTTCAAGTGCCCAGTTGCCGAGTGTGGTTAGTGCCGACCCCTACTGGACAGCACAGATGGGACATTCTGTCATCGCAGGAGGTGCTATCGGACAGTGCTGGACACTAGAGCTTGAACCCGTGCCGGGTCCTCACATGAGCAGCATCAGCCCCACCTGCAGCTTGTTAGGGATGCAGGACCTCAGCTGCTACTCCAGACCTTCGGAATCAAAACCGGCACTTCCACGAGACTCCCCCGTGATGACATCCTCAAGTTGAAGCAGCTGTGATCTCTAAGATTTCTTCCAGCTCTAAAAATAAAATATAGGAATCGGGGTATCTGCTTAAAAAAATCTTTGAGAAAGAGATAAACAACCGCCTTGTCCGAATCCCAGTTCACTGATTTGCTGAAAAGGAAAGAACCGGGGCTGTGTGAAGGGAGAAAGATCAGCAGAACGAGCGGGCCTGCGCGGGAGCAAGAGGGAAGGAGCCAGCAGGCCTCAGTGCGGGGGTGCAAGCCAGCGCCTGTCCCCGAGCCTCGCCTCCCCTTGGGGCATTGGGTCGCTGCCTACAGAGCCTCACAGAAGGGGGGGTCCTCAATTTTCCGTGACAGCAAATGGATTGCGTTTACTGGGCACCTTCCTTCCTGGCGTCTTAGGGTATTTGGTAAAGCTCCCATCGTTAAACCTCAGCAGGAGAGGGCTTAGGCAGGTCTTTTATTCAAACGAGGAGCGTATTGGAGAAGAAATCAAGGCCACACTGGACAGTGGCAGGAAGGGCAGACCAGAGCGCCCGCCTCGGGCTCATGATCCAGAGCTCTCTCTCCTCTGCGGCTTGAGCTATAAAACAGGAGAGATGCTCTCAGTCCTCTCACTGCAGGAAGCTTTGGTGTCTTTGGGTGACATGCTGTTTTCACACAAAAACAAAGGGGATAATATTAGATCTGTTGCTTGTTAAGAAAACATGGGCCTCTTACAGGACAAAATTGCAGTCATATCTCTTATTTAATTGATATCAGATTTTATTGCTGAATGCTAAAGTTTTAATGTGTCCATAAATCTGTTTCTTACTTTCAGAGAAATATCTGTATTAAGAACACACTGTACAAAGGGAGATGGAACAGATGAATCCAAAATGTACATTATTAATTTTTTAGGAAGCAAGTGAAATGGTACCTCATAAAGGGTAATAGAAAAAAATAAAATAAAACAGCTGGGATTTTGGATTTGCTTTAGAGAGAAATCTGATTTGAGACATATCCTTACAGAGTCAACTATTTTGATGAGGGAGAAAAGATGAGCAGATAGAAGTGGGGCTGTGGCACACAGGTCGGGTGCGGGATGAGTTTCCAGCAGGTACACGGTGAGCTGAGCATCCTGTCACATAACCGAGTCATGGAATCTGGGCACAACGCAGGGGACAGGGAGCTGGGCAGGAGTCGGAGGGGCCTGGTCTGAATCCCACTCTCCACCTGCTCTCTGTGTGATCGCTGACACATTTCAGTGAGCACTCTGAGCCTCAGTGTCCCCTGTGTGAAACCCAAAGCGCACCTGTCTCCAGAGGCTTTGGGAGATGCTTTAGGTAAAGTGCCTGGGACACAAGAGGCAATTGGTACCTATTAGTGCATCAATTAGTCAAATAATGGATTGGGGTCCCATCCAAAGCTATGACAAAGAAAGTTAATGAGGACACACCTAGGAGAGGCAGCATTTCCCGGCCTCCTGCGGTGCTGGTTGTCCTGCCCCTGCCCCCCGCCCCCTGCCCACCTCTGACCGCTCAAGTCCTCCCACCACGCAGGGGAGCAGCCTCACTTGGGCTGGCGATGCTGGGGAAAGGTCAGGAGCACAGGGCGCCATCGGTGATTTCGGGGCCAGAGAGGTCTGGGAATGGCGTCGGTGCACAGAACACCGCCAGCCTTCAAACCCACCTCCAATTCGGGAAGGAAGCAAAAAAAGAACTTCGCGCTTTTGCTGGTCCCCCTTCTAACAACCATTCCTGTTCACTTTCCTCCGGATAAAGTAAGAACGTTCTCTTGGAGCATCTCTGATAAGGCCAGTTCCACATGGTAATGACCTTTCTTTAACACCTAATTTCTCCTCATATCTCTTTTCTGTGCTGAGCATTTCCATTCAGATTACGTGCCGGGGGCTGCAAGCCCTCTACTTTATGGCTGGAGGAATGTCCACGGGTTTGTTTCTAACTTGCCTATTTCCCCATCTCATTTCCACCCTTCATTAACTGCTTTTAGCCTGAACCCAGATGGAGGATCGCTGGGCAGTTAGCTAGCTATTGACTGAGTTGACGCAATGGATGGGTGACGTGTTGAGTGATGCCACCCCCACCCCCAAGGATGTCCATGTCTAAATGCCCAGCCCCTGTGAAAATGTTCCCTTTCGTGGTTAAAGGGACTCTAGATAGGTACTTAAGGATCTTGAGATGGGAGATTTTCCTGGATTATCTGGCTGGGCCCAGTATAATCACAGGGGGCCTTATGAGAGGAAGGCAGGAGGGTTACAGAGAGAAGGTACAAGGGTGGGAGCAGAGGTCAGGGAGAAAAGAAGATGCAGTGTCGCTGGCTTCGAGATGGCGGAGAGTCCAGGAGCCAAGGAACGCAGGCAGCCTCTAGGAGCTGGAAAGGGCAAGGAGGCGGATCCACCCGCTGAGCCCCCAGAAGGAACGCAGCCCTCTGGGCCCATTTTAGTCTTCTCACCTCCAGAACTGTAAGAGAGCACATATGTGTTTCTATAAGCCACTGAGTTTGTGGGAACTTGCCACAGCAGCAATAGGAGGCTAATACACCTGGACTTGTTAAAAAGTTGTCAGCAGGGTTTCAAGAGAAAAGCAGGACTGAACCATCGACTCAGGATTGGCACACGGCCCCTTCTCTCACATTCCATTGGCCAAAGATGTCACAAGGTCACCCGAAACTCAAGGGTTGGAGAAATGGAGCCCGCCCCTTGATGGGTTCTATTTCTCTCACCTCTTGATGGGAGAATTTGGAAAGTCACGTTGCAAGGGGTATGGGGACCAAGAAAGTTACAGGATTATGGCCTTTCTCTGCAATGAGTCTACCACCACGCCCTTTACCAGGTGACAGAGGACATTGGAAAGTAACATCTGACCCCGGTCTCTTTTTCATTTCCAGGGGCACAGAGAGCATGGGGGTCTGGAACTCAGGCGCCGGTATCCTCCTAAGTCTCTGGGGGATGTACGTGTCTCCAAGAAGCCCGGGATGGATGGGCTTCGCGCAACACTTGGGAACTTGCTGTTTCGTTGCTCTCCTTTCAGTGGGCCTCCTCTCGGTGGCCTTCTCCTGGCTTCTGTCCTCGCTCACAGTCTTCGTCACCTCCTGGGCGATCGTGAGCGCTCTGCTGAGCTGCTCCAAGCACGCGAGATGCTTCCTCGCCCTCCTCGCCCTCTCCTGCGGCCTGCGGGAGGGCAGGAACGCCCTGATTGCAGTGGGCACAGGGCTGGTGATCTTCGGACACGTGGAAAATATCTTTCACAACTTCAAAGGTCTCCTGGACAGTATGACTTGCAACCTGAGGGCAAAGAGCTTTTCCATACATTTGCCACTTTTGCAAAAGTATATTGAAGCAATTCAGTGGATTTACGGCCTTGCCACTCACCTGAATCTATTCGATGGCCTTGTTTCTTGGAACCAGACTCTGGCAGTCTCTCTTTCCAGTCCCAGCCAAGCCCTGGAGGCCCAGCTAAATGACACTAAAGGCCGAGTCGTGGGGGTCTTGTACCAGTTGGTGACGGCGACAGAGGTGGTGTCCTCCCTGGGACGGCAGCTACTGGCCCTGGCGGGGCTTTTGCTGGTGCTTCTCGGCACCGGCCTCTTCATGAAGCGCTTTTTGGACCCTTGCGGTTGGAAGTTTGAGAACATCTACATCACCAGGGCGTTTGTTCAGTTTGACGAGAGGGAGAGGCGTCAGCACAGACCCTGCGTCCTCCCGCTGAGCGGGAGGGAGAGGAAGAAGTATGTGGTCATCCCGTCCTTCCGGCTGACGCCTAAAGAGAGGAAAAACCTGGGCCTGTTCTTCCTCCCCATACTGACCCACCTCTGCCTCTGGGTGCTGTTCGCGGCCATCGACTCCCTGCTGTACCGGCTCATTTTCTCAGTGAGCAGACACTCCCGGAGCCTGCCGGCGCTGGAGGTCCACCTGAAGCTGCACAGGGAGGTAGGCGCCCGCAGGCCCTGGCCGGCTGCCTCGGCCTGGCTGCCGGGCTGTCGGGAAGGGTCATGAGCCTCCCGAGGCAGGGCCGTGTCTCACCAGCTTTGGGTCCCCGGTGCCTGGCACAGAGCCTCGCACGTAGACGGAGCCCATCCGTCTAAGGTTAAATTGAAGTCCCGCGTTAGAGTGTATCATTCTGAAAATTTGGGGTCACTGTGTTAGTTTCCTGTGGCTGCTGTAACAAGTGACCACAAAGTGAGAGACTGAAACAACGGAAATCTATTCTCTTATAGTTCTGGGGGCCAGAAGCCTGAAATGAGCGGCTGGGGTGAAATCGGGGGGGGCGGGGGGCCGAGCCACACTCCCTTCAGACTCTAAGGGAGAACCCGCCCTTTGCCTCCACACGGCTGCTTTCCTTCTCCCTATGGAGCGCCTGTGGGCTGTGCTGGGTGCTGGGGAAACCCTCGGGGGCCTCGCCTGCAAACCCTCCCTGGAGGCCCCACTTTCCACGTCTCTGTCTCCGGGCTGGGCTCCTCCTGCTGTGTCCACACTTTCCGCCCCTTTCCTCCTGGCTCAGCAGGTCCGTCCGGGCTCCCGCCCTGCTCGCCCTGGGCTGCTTCTCAGAGTTGATTACTCTGCGCACCGTGTGTCCCCTGCAGAACTGAGTTAATTACCAGAGCCCCAGAGCTCTGGGTTTCTGGAGCAGAGTGGGTAATGGGAGATGTGCTTTGCATGAAAGTCTAACAGGATTTTCAGACCCGCAGGATCCTGCGGGGCGGCTAGGAAAAGAGCCTGTTCTCCCCGCCCCGCCCTTTGCCTCCTGTTTCTCTGATTAACCTCCCCCCTCAGGTCTCTCCCCTCCTTCCTCTTTTTGCTCTTCTCTCATTTGTTTCTCTCTCAGTCAACACCATGCCTGTTTTGTGAATTCTCACCATTTTAGACAGAAGGGGGGAGAAACGTATCCAAGTTCTGCCTTTGAAAAAAGGCCCAGAAGCTTTCCAGTGACAGTGTCCTCAAAAATACATTTTTGGGTGTTGGGTCCTGGGGTTGCAAAGCTGTCTGGACCCTGATGGCTGCCACGGAGGGGCTCGTGTCCTGGCGGCAGAGGCCACCACGTCCACTCACAGTGACAGCAGGCCAATGGGCACTGGAACAGATGTGAGGGTGAGGCTGCTGTGACAGCTCCTCTCAGACCCTCTCCTGTGGTGCCTGGGCCACTGCCCACCAGCAGCCTCCCCGTGACTGGCAGTGCCCTGCCCTTACCCAGGATGCCACAGATTTGCAAAGGTGAAGTCAAGTAGGTAGAGAGACGCCGGCTCAAGTTTTACCACTATGTCTCTCCCAGTTTCATACAATTTTAAATAAAGAAGTTAGGAAATGACCTGAATTGAGCTAGCATTGTAAGAAAAAATAGCCATCGTTGCTGCTCATTGAGTGCCTACTATGTGCATAGAATTTGTCTAGATGAACTTTTCAGGACTGTCTGATGCCAGAGCAGGTTCTCTGTACATTACTCAACACTGTCCTGGCAAATTGTTTGCTTAAGAGATGTAAACACATTTTAAAACATCAGGGTGCCATTTAGTACATTGCTCGGGATTTTGAGAGAGTTCATTTGTCTTCCACGTTACCCTCCACCAAACGTGTACAAAACCGTCGATTCAATCTTTACGAAGCCCTGACTCCCAGCTGCAAAACCCCTGGTGAGAGACCGAGACTAAATAACTTCTCCCCGGACCCAACACCCGCTGTGCCCTTATTGCAGGATTTCTCATCACTGACTCAATCGATGTGTTTGTCTCTTCTATAGTATTAAAAAGAGTGCACGCCTTTGCTCTGGGGATAGAAATCTCTCTACTTAATTGTAAGCAAACTATCTTAATAAAAGTAGAGGCAATGCAAATGCCTTTCACTGCTCAGCCGCAGTGCTGGGGAAATTACAGATTTCACGTCACATTTGCATAGATGTCCCTGGTTTGGGACTCCCAGGTGTTAGGGTAGATCCAAGGTGCATGGTGTTCTCTGGGTGTGGCTGGGGTCACTTTTTGAGAAGTCATTGACCTCTTCCTGGCCCCAGGACTCTGGGGTGCAGGGGTGATAATAACTTACTAAGTACTCCAGTCTGTTAGGTTAATGCTCCATCCCCAAGGTGCTTAATTTACACTGGGAGTAGTTTATTCATGGGCAGGCTCTGGTCCATTAATTCCTGTTTTACCAAATGAGAAAACAAATCCACTGAGAGATTAAATGACTTTCTCAGGTCAGGGAAAAGGAGGAGCTGAATCAGCACAGGCTTCTCTCGCTGGCGGCTTGGCTGGGTCGCTCAATGTCATCTTCTGCCCTCTGTGTCAGTTTGCTGAGGGCAACTGATCTGTTCTCTTGCTTTCACCCAGGAACGAATGCACCCCTCCTGAGCGTCCAAGAGATAAGAAAATGTCCTATTTTGAGACTTCTAAAAATAGGAGTTTAGAGCCGCCTTCAGTAAATACTCTTCCTAGTATTCTTACACTAAGAATAATTCCCCTGTCCCCAAGCTCTAGAATGTTGACTTAGAACATCATTTAGTGTCTCTGCATCTTTGTGACTTTGCAGTCTAATGGGGAGGGTATGGCTCGGTCTTAAGGGACTACGCTCCAAACACCTTCTCCTCTCCCCCAGCTGAGCTAAACCCATCTTTCAATAGTCCCACATGCACTAAAGTGTAGAAACAGGTGCTCCACAAAAACGGGTTGTGCAGTCAAATGTGTTAGGATAACTGCTGGCTGACGGTAAGCAGATTTCTCGGCCGTCTTCTCAGCCTTCAACAGTCTTATGGGCACCATGACTCTCCAAAGAAGGGACAAGTAGTCACATTTATTCGATACCCTCTTTCAAGGAAACCTATATTTCCACAAACCCACTTTGGAAAATGCTGCAATAGCTGCAGACAAGGCTCACCCCTCCGCTTTCCTCCAACCACAGTGCACAAAAGGAACCACGGCAGCTCCTTCTGCCGAAGCTTCCTGCCTATTTTAAGACAAATGGCATGTGTTGCAGGGCAGTATTGAGAAAGATGCTGAAAGAGTGTGAAACGGCATAGATCTTGATGATTTTATTCTTTCATTTTAGGAGCAAGGAACTCAAAACATCATCCATGATTCCCTCTTTAATGTATCTCTGTTTGAGCCCACCTGCATCCCTAAACCAAAGCTCCTTCTGTCTAAGACCTGGGTTCCTCTCAGTATTATCCTTGTGATACTAGTGGTGCTAGGACTGTTGTCCTCCTTCCTGATGCAACTGAAAATCCTGGTGTCAGCCTCCTTCTACCCAAGCGTGCAGAGGGAGCGCGTCGAATACCTGCATGCGAAGCTACTAAAGAAAAGATCAAAGCAGCCAGTAGGAGACGAGAAAAGGCAGCTGTGTCTGTACTTTACAAAGGTAAGGCCACGCTGAGGGTCTAGCCGTAATGAAGGGAGTTTTGAGTTTGAAGGGCAAAACGGAATTTCAAAGCACTCTTCCACTTCACATTAGGGCTATATCCTCAACAACAGACATACACTGGTGTGGGGGCGGGGGGGTACCTCGGTGTTTGAATGTGATCCGTTCCAGAAGACCATCTGAGTTCTGAAATGTTCAAAAACCAAGGGATCCACAGCCAACCGCTAGGCCTCAGGATCTTGCCCTCGGCGGAAGCCGTGTGGCATGTTCGATGTCCGAGGCGTGTTCGAAACCCGAAGCGTTTCCTTCCAGGTTTATGGCATTGGTAAACTGAAATGTTCGTCAACAGAGACGTTCGAAACCTGAGATACCACTGTACGTGGCTAAGGTTCCTAGTTGGGTGATTTTAAATGCCAGTCTAGAGGATTCTACAAGATGTCCTCAAAACACTGATTTCAAGTGAGTGTGTTTAATCATATTGTAGAGAGACACACTGGGAAGGCCCTTTGTAATGGCTGTCAAAGGACAGTGCCCAATAAGGAGTTACGTTAGCAGGTCAAGGATGAATCAGTTACAGAGAGGGAAGAATCCACTACAGCTTGGTAAACCCCAATGAGTCCGCTCAGTCTTCAGAATTAATATATAGAGATATAAAATATGTATATGATGATATGATATGTATGTACATTTATACACATAGAGGGTAACATGACTTTCATACACATGTAAAATAAATGCTTGTCAAAGATTTTCTTTGCTATTAATTAAAGAGGAAACAGTAAAAAATTCCAACCAGTTCAAAGTATACACAGTGTTCACAGGAATACACGAAAGAATTTCCTTCGTAGATTCAAAACTGACTTCTTCCCCGAGGGCAGATGGAAGAGCCATTGTACTCTGCGGGGTACAATTTATGTGCAGGCCCAAGACAAGAATCATTTGCATTGTTGCTATCTGCTGTCTACAATGTTCACTGTAGGAAAATAGCTCACAGATGACAAAAGACCAAGGTAACCCCCCAAGGTTAGGTTTTTCTGGCCATTTCAAAGTCTTCTGCAATTTTTCCTGACACCAGTAGCCCCACGATGAGACGTTTATGTCAGAGGCATGTGAAATGACTCTGCTTCTCATTCACCCACCTTTTTATCTCTTCAGATTCATTTCTGGCTTCCTGTCCTAAAAGCGATTAGAAAGAAACAAGTGGACACTGCAAGTGACAACAGTCCATGAGAGATCCTCCAGTGGCGCGGGGCCGCACTTCCCAGCAGCTCTGCTCGGGTCCCCCGGCGGTGGTCACTATTCATGCCCCACATCAGAGATCTACACTGCATGGCCCTTCGGGGGTCTGAGTTTGGGGGCCAAACTCCTTGTCTTCCTAAGGGCCAAAGGTCTCCCAGGTAAATGGTTAGGTTGTCTGTCTTCCAAACAAGGGACATGATCTAGCCTGTGTCACGATGTACCAAGACTATAACCAAGTCCTTTGGGGATAAGTCTCAGCATAGAGTAATATTCAAAGAAAAAAATTAGAAAAAAAATCAACATTTCTACTGTAGGTTCAAGAAACATACAGGGTAAAACATAGCCTTTTATCACCTAAATTCTGGGTGTCTATAAACCTCACCTTTGTAGTTAAAAGGCAGAAGAAATCAGAATGAATTTGTCATTTGAGGTCTCTGTGCAAATGCAAAGGGAAAGCAAAAAATCCCATGACAGGAAGAAAAGCATAACTAGCCACGGTAACCACAATTAAGGCAGAGCACGTCTGCACTTCTATACTGGATGCCGAGGAAATACACAGTGTGGCCTGTGAGGTGCCCCCCTCATTCAGCAAAGGCAAGGAACAGTGTGCCTCCCGACCACAGCGTGGGGCTGAGGAAGACGCCTGGCTTAGAGGCCTACAGGAGCAGAGGAAGGACTGAGACAAACGTGCAAATGTCCATCCGCTGATACCCAAAGCTGGCTGATCATCAGAATTGCCTTTCGAAGGTTAAAAAGTAAAACAAAATGACAGATTCCCAAACATAAACCCAGATGTACTGACTAGAGAGTTGAGGGAGGGTCCTGGGAGTCTATATTCTAGGGGACTTTGAGGTTGCTTGAGATGATCAGGCAAACTTGGTACCCACCGCTTTAGAGATTTGTAGCAAGTCTTGGAGAGAAAAGATTGTTGAGTTGAAAAAGGCCCACGTCTGCTCTGGCCTGTGTGGCTCATTTGGTTGGGTGTCCTCCATGCACCAAAAGGTTGCTGGTTCGATTCCCAGTCAGGGCACATGCCTGGGTTTCGGGCTCGATGCCTCGTAGGGGGTGTGCAGGAGGCAGCTGACCCATGTTGTTCTCTCACATCGATGTTTCTCTCTCTCTCCCTCTCCCTTCCTCTCTCTCTAAGAATCAATAAAAATAAAATTTAAAACCTCCATCTACGCAGTGTCTACATAATTAGTTGTGTGGACATACACACAGGACTCCCCTTCTAGTTGATGCTGAGGAAGCTATTAATCTAACAGGTTTTTTCACTAATGCAAAACGCTCAGCGTCAAAACAGCATTGCTCCTGTCCCCTGCAGTCCAACCCCCCGCGTGTGTAAATGAGCACTCCCCGAATGAGGGCAGAACCGAAGATGCATCGTGAACCAGACAATCCTAACCAGCGGTTAACCCTTTCACCAATCCTGATTTGGTACCCGATGTTATTTTAATTAAATTATTTCAATTTAGGGGATGGCAATTATACGGTACAGTGTAAGCATTCTAGGCTCTGCAGCCACGTGGCCTCTGCCGTCAGTACTCACCCCTGCCCCTGGAGTGAGACACAACCACGGGCAACGAGGAAATGAACGAGCCTGACTGTTCCGATAAAACCTGATTCGCAGAGACAAGCGGCACCCTGGACCGGCCGGCCTAATAATACAGGAAGACTTTTGAGAAATCCATCCAAAGTCAGAAGAGAAATGGGTTCGAAATCCCTCGTTACCACCAACCAGCTAAATGACTTTGCAAAAAGGAGTCACTTCACCTTTCTGACCTCAGTTTTCTCATCTGTAAAGAGGAAGGAGCTGGGCTGCAGAATCTCTGAGGAAGCTGCCATTTCTTCAAGTCTAGGGTTCCTTGGGAGGCTGCAGTCTCCTGGAGAGGATCCCCAAGAGGCCGTCGCCCACGTTTCAGCATTCGACGTGTTTGTTCTTTCACTGTTGATCAACGCATCATAGAGAGCAGAGGCTCTTGGGTCCTAAGGATGATTTATTTGATGAAAAAAGGAAAAGAGGCTGTTACTTTCTCTACAGACACAGAAACAATCAGGGTGCTTATTAAATTCTAAATGTCATGGGTAATTTCATACTGTTTAAAGTCAGGCTGCGATGTCAGTGTCTGAAGACCTGAAAATGGAAAAGTCTTGCCTTTTCCAAGCGAGCCGTGTACTCACTCTAAATGTGATATATTAATTAGGGAGTGAAAGAAACAGATCAACCTTGTTTTTCCCGAAGGAAACCACTGTGGAAGTTTGTCTGCACTGACAGGGAAGCAATGTCTTGCAAGCGGAAACGCTAATGATACATAGAAGAAAATAAACAGTACATTGTTTTCAAACATGATGCAATGACAGAAAAGAGTGTTGAATTAGAAATGAGAAGAAACGACTTCTAATTCTGGCTCTGCTACTAACTAGCTTAGCCAAGGTGCCTCCTTCTCTCGACATAATTCAGTCCTTCGTNGTCAGGGCACATGCCTGGGTTTCGGGCTCGATGCCTCGTAGGGGGTGTGCAGGAGGCAGCTGACCCATGTTGTTCTCTCACATCGATGTTTCTCTCTCTCTCCCTCTCCCTTCCTCTCTCTCTAAGAATCAATAAAAATAAAATTTAAAACCTCCATCTACGCAGTGTCTACATAATTAGTTGTGTGGACATACACACAGGACTCCCCTTCTAGTTGATGCTGAGGAAGCTATTAATCTAACAGGTTTTTTCACTAATGCAAAACGCTCAGCGTCAAAACGGCATTGCTCCTGTCCCCTGCAGTCCAACCCCCCGCGTGTGTAAATGAGCACTCCCCGAATGAGGGCAGAACCGAAGATGCATCGTGAACCAGACAATCCTAACCAGCGGTTAACCCTTTCACCAATCCTGATTTGGTACCCGATGTTATTTTAATTAAATTATTTCAATTTAGGGGATGGCAATTATACGGTACAGTGTAAGCATTCTAGGCTCTGCAGCCACGTGGCCTCTGCCGTCAGTACTCACCCCTGCCCCTGGAGTGAGACACAACCACGGGCAACGAGGAAATGAACGAGCCTGACTGTTCCGATAAAACCTGATTCGCAGAGACAAGCGGCACCCTGGACCGGCCGGCCTAATAATACAGGAAGACTTTTGAGAAATCCATCCAAAGTCAGAAGAGAAATGGGTTCGAAATCCCTCGTTACCACCAACCAGCTAAATGACTTTGCAAAAAGGAGTCACTTCACCTTTCTGACCTCAGTTTTCTCATCTGTAAAGAGGAAGGAGCTGGGCTGCAGAATCTCTGAGGAAGCTGCCATTTCTTCAAGTCTAGGGTTCCTTGGGAGGCTGCAGTCTCCTGGAGAGGATCCCCAAGAGGCCGTCGCCCACGTTTCAGCATTCGACGTGTTTGTTCTTTCACTGTTGATCAACGCATCATAGAGAGCAGAGGCTCTTGGGTCCTAAGGATGATTTATTTGATGAAAAAAGGAAAAGAGGCTGTTACTTTCTCTACAGACACAGAAACAATCAGGGTGCTTATTAAATTCTAAATGTCATGGGTAATTTCATACTGTTTAAAGTCAGGCTGCGATGTCAGTGTCTGAAGACCTGAAAATGGAAAAGTCTTGCCTTTTCCAAGCGAGCCGTGTACTCACTCTAAATGTGATATATTAATTAGGGAGTGAAAGAAACAGATCAACCTTGTTTTTCCCGAAGGAAACCACTGTGGAAGTTTGTCTGCACTGACAGGGAAGCAATGTCTTGCAAGCGGAAACGCTAATGATACATAGAAGAAAATAAACAGTACATTGTTTTCAAACATGATGCAATGACAGAAAAGAGTGTTGAATTAGAAATGAGAAGAAACGACTTCTAATTCTGGCTCTGCTACTAACTAGCTTAGCCAAGGTGCCTCCTTCTCTCGACATAATTCAGTCCTTCGTAGAAAACATCTTAATAGCTATTACGTATTTACTGAGCCCTTACTGGGTACCCGACGCTGTTTTTGGTGTTTTATTTCCATTAATCTTTACCAAAACCTCATGAGGGAAGTTCTGATGTTATTGCTGTTGTATAGATAAAGAAACCGAGGCATTGGTGGCTAAGTAACTTATGCACAGTGTGTTCTGGAAGCAACATTTGAACAGTTATTCTCTACTATGCCGCCTCCCAGAGCGGGGTTTTCATGTGTCATTTCCCAGCTGAGATCGGGACCCACACATCTGGTGAATTAACATCCCCCCGGTGGGCCTTCGAGCTCTCCTCCAATCTGACCCCGGCCTATTTCCCCACCTTATTTCTTACTTTTTTTCTGTTTGAACCTACCTTTCATCCAAAAGCTGTTTCCACCTGATCCCCGGGAGAGTCACCTGCTTCCCCTTCACGCTTCTGCTCTCCTGGACCTGCTCATTTGCAAAGCACACCCCATCTTCTCTCCCCGGTCACGCCCTCCCGTCCTTCAAGGCCTTCCCAAGTCCTGCCTCCCCAGAAAGTGAGCACAGCGGGAAGAGCATGGGTGAGAATTTTGTAAATGGGGCCATGTCCTGGCTCTGTCGTAGCCTCTGTGTGGGAACCGGGAGATGCCATTTCAACTCTCTGGGCCTCCATTTGTTCGATCAATTGAGTGTTGGACCCCATTTGAATTTTTCAAACGTATTAACTATTATTCTTTTTAGCTGTAGACTCCTTCCTCCAATTCACTCTTTAGATCACCAATTTCCAACCCAGCAAAGACACAGCCGCCCTCCTTGAAACAGAAGTGGGTGCCCCAAAGCCTGCTTCCCTTCCTCGTGTCCACCTGGGCAGCTCTTGAGGCACCTGAGGGATCTGCAGAACAAAGCAGGAAAATACCAGAATAACTCTAGTCATTCCTGCACAGCTCCCCCATTTCTTATCCTATCGGCCTAGGTCATGCTCTATCATTTACTTACACGTTCTTGTAATGAAGTCAGCATTTTTACTAAATAAGTTCATTCTAAAAGGAAACTTTATAACATCATTGTGAACGGAAAAACAG